TACTACACCCATAGGGGAGGTTTATAGTATACTACACCCATAGGGGACGTTTATAGTATACTGCACCCATAGGGGAGGTTTATAGTATACTACACCCATAGGAGACGTTTAGAGTGTACTATACCCATAGGGGAGGTTTTTGTATACTACACTCATAGGGGAGGTTTTTGTATACTACACCCATAGGGGAGGTTTATAGTATACTATACCCATATGGGAGGTTTGTAGTGTACTACACCCATAGGGGAGGTTTTTAGTGTACTACACCCATAGGGGAGGTTTATAGGGTACTACACCTATAGGGTAGGTTTAGAGTGTACAACACCCATAGGGGAGGTTTAGAGTGTACTTCACCCATAGGGGAGGGTTATAGTGTACTTTACCCATAGAGGAGGTTTAAATAGTTTTACATCTGCTTTACTACTGAAATTGAAAATGGATTTCAGTCTTGTCTAGGGACATATATCTTTTGGGAATATTCTCCTGATCTTTTTGGAAACAAAGAGTTCAGGTCACAAATTGTATTTGTTGATAACACCAGATATTAATTAAGAAGACATGTTAAACTAGGATTATATTTAGGAAATAAAATAGAAGTAACTTTTTCTGAATAAAATGGAAAATAGGTAGAATGTGAGTGATATGGTCAGCAGCGGGACAGTGGAGCCACGTAAAAGCTTACCATGTGCCCAATACCACGACCGACTCTTGTTGTCAAGGATGACTGACTCTCGTTGTCAAGGATTTGGAGACAAACCAAGATGATGCTCATAATGAGTGGCAGTCCACCATCATTTTTATGGTCATAAATTGGCGTTCCCTTATTTCTGTGTTATAAAGTTAAGACATTTTTGTAGGAAGACATTTTCTCCAGATCTGTCTCTATATTGCCGATGTTACTGGAGGATAATGGAGAGTGATACGTATGATAGATTGAAGTATTCTAGCCAGACATGAATGATGTATAGAATGTTCCTTACCATAGACAAGTGTTATAGCTATGGAGATATGAATATGCCAAGACAAATATATGGTGTACATTATCCTTGTACGTTACAGAGGTTGTACAGGTCATGTCACTTAAGGATCCTCGTCCCAGCCAGAGCAAAACACTAAAGATTTCCACTGTCGTTTTTCAGTGTTAGAGTCACCTGCCCCTGATTACCATGTCGACAATATTGTTATCTTCCCTTGAATAGATTTCGTTTGAATAACGTTTCGACTACAGAGTTGTGTCCCTTGCATTGAAAATCTCCAATCGCGAAAGTCAGGGTAAAAAAGCTGTCGTAACGATGTAAACAATGTCGTGGCAGTGATGGCAGTTATGCAAACCCGACGTAAAATTGGCCGTTTTTAATGTAAACTAAACGCATTAACTGACAATTATAACAACAATGATGTCCAATATTAACTGCTAGACCACGACTATGCGACGAAACAAAGTGACACTCGTTCACACATTGAAGAGACGCTGGCTACGGAGGCCCCTACTAAGCTTACTGGCAATTTTACTGATGAGCCGACACCGACGTCCAATAAGGATCCCTCCAGTACTAGTGATCACGAAAACGTCAATAACTTTTTAACCTGGTCGCAGGGTAGACGAGTGGTTGAACCTGCGATGTTATCTGAATACCTGGACCAGAAAGGTTGTAAGGAATGCGGTACTAGGCTACGGTTGTGCAATACCCGACAGGAAAGATATTTTGGCCTGGGAAGTATTTTATACATCACAATAGTCAGGATTATATTCTATATTTGTTATTACATGTATATGCCCAATAGGCCTATATTTCAAGTTCATTTTTTATATTACATACAACAGTGTTATTTTTACAATGTGATATTTGTATACCACAATATCGTATGTTGTTATTTGTACATAATGTAAAAGTTTATTATTGTTGTATATAGCGTGATTTTTTTTATATCACAACGTGGTATGTCATTTGCTTATTATGTAGAAATTTATTATTGTTGTGTAAAGTATGTGAAACTTTGTTATTGTTGTTCATTGTGACATTTTTGCTATGACACAGTGAAGTACATTGTTTGTTATAATGTTATTCGTACACAATGTGCAGTTTTGTTTTATATATTGTTGTGTAAAGTATGTGAAACGTTGGTAATGCCTACTGTATTATATTCGTATATAAAAAGTGCTATATTGTATGTTGTAAATTGTATATATGACTTTTTGGGATTTATAATTATTATTGTTACAAATGTAAGAGTTGTCTCTCTTTTTTGTTTAGTTTTTTTGTATCTTTATAATTTTTTGTATAATAAGTAGGTCCGCAAGATATTTATTTTTTGTCACCTATATTTTCTTTTCGTTGTCCTAAACGTGTTGCATTGGCACTCGGAATTTTATTGATTCATGTAATGGGGATTTTTGTTAGTTTTAGTATTATTGTTAGAAAATTACTCAGTTTTTTTGTGTTTTGTTCATCAATATTGACATTGTTATTATTTTTTATGTGTTTTATTGCTAATAAAATGTATTTTGTTTCATTTTGTTCCATTGAAAAACAAAATCGGAAAAAAAATCGAAATTTCATAATATCCCAAAAAATCTGAAGAAACTACCGCAAGGTATGGGTTATTGTTCAGAAATGATTTGGTTATGCAATAGCGATGCGCATAGAAAAAAACCCCAATGCCTCATTACATTTTTAGGTGGAGGGACGGGGATCCTTAAAACATAGTTAAAATTGGTATGGAACAATTAAAGCTCATCTCTGTGAGAATAGAGAGGTGTATTGTGTGGAGTATTGTAGAGAGCATTGATTGTACCTTCATCTTATTTGTAGAGTAGATATTGGGAGTACTTAACAGTTTAATTAGTACTTTGTTATTCATACATGATAGGATGAAGATCATCATCTCCAATGCCTAGTGATAAGACATTGTAGGACGGAGGTGGGAGGTCTGTCTTGCAGCCATATTTCGACTGCTATCTTCAGTTACTTGAGTTATCAGACTTTTTATTGAAAAAGGAAAGTGATTGAGAAAGGCTAGCTGCTGTGTCTGTTCCTGCTGATAATAAATGACCCGTCATGTCCAGTTCAATTAGCTTGGATCTGAAACCTATTAAAACCTAACAACAGGGCGTTAACCTAGTGTACTCAGCCAGTTCATAAAGCAAATGTCACTAGAACATCAAAGAAATAACATGTAAAGTTTGTTGTCACTTTTGTATGGATATTGCATTTAAACATTTTTATAGATATTTCTTGATTACGAAGTGGTAAAGGAATATTCCAAATACTGAAGGGGTCATAATTAAACTTGGTATGTGTGATCTCCTTTGTCCATAGTTGTAATTGTACCAGTTTGAGAGAGTTCTACCATAGACAAGTACCTCAAAGGTAATGTTGGAACTCGGTTTGCATGAAGTCCTTCAATTGGTACCTGTTCATGTGCTTGTTGAATCTTCCAATTGTGGATGCAGAAATCCATCTTTGAAATCTTGTTACGCTATTAAAGGTTGTTTTTGACACTTTTTACTAAGTAAAAGGAATTTATCATTGAAATGTAATCTTGCAGACATTTGACTTTTTCAGGATCAGCAGATGGAGAGAGCACCTGGGTTTTGTTGTCCACGTTGTATAGGAGCTACCTGTACAGACCAAAACACTCGCTACAAGGTACGTACACGATGTACTCTGTTCAGATCTGTCCAGTTATGCGTCCATGTATCAATCTGTCCAGCTGTTTGTCCGTGTATCAATCTGTCCAGCTATCTGTCCATGTATCAACCCGTCCGTCCGTCCATGTATCATTCTGTCCAGCTGTTTGTCCGTGTATCAATCTGTCCAGCTATCCGTCCATGTATCAATCTGTCCAGCTATCCGTCCATGTATCAATCTGTCCAGCTATCCATCCATGTATCAATCTGTCCAGCTATCCATCCATGTATCAATCTGTCCATCTATCCATCCATGTATCAATCTGTCCATCTATCCGTCCATGTATCAATCTGTCCATCTATCCATCCATGTATCAATCTGTCCAGCTATCCGTCCATGTATCAATCTGTCCAGCTATCTGTCCATGTATCAATCTGTCCAGCTATCCATCCATGTATCAATCTGTCCAGCTATCCATCCATGTATCAATCTGTCCATCTATCCATCCATGTATCAATCTGTCCATCTATCCATCCATGTATCAATCTGTCCATCTATCCATCCATGTATCAATCTGTCCATCTATCCATCCATGTATCAATCTGTCCATCTATCCATCCATGTATCAATCTGTCCATCTATCCATCCATGTATCAATCTGTCCAGCTATCCGTCCATGTATCAATCTGTCCAGCTATCCGTCCATGTATCAATCTGTCCAGCTATCCATCCATGTATCAATCTGTCCAGCTATCCATCCATGTATCAATCTGTCCATCTATCCATCCATGTATCAATCTGTCCAGCTATCCATCCATGTATCAATCTGTCCATCTATACATCCATGTATCAATCTGTCCATCTATCCGTCCATGTATCAATCTGTCCATCTATCCATCCATGTATCAATCTGTCCAGCTATCCGTCCATGTATCAATCTGTCCAGCTATCTGTCCATGTATCATCTGTCCAGCTATCTGTCCATGTATCATTCTGTCCATCTATCTGTCCATGTATCATCTGTCCAGCTATCTGTCCATGTATCATCTGTCCAGCTATCTGTCCATGTATCATCTGTCCAGCTATCCGTCCATATATCAATCTGTCCAGCTATCCGTCCATGTATCCATATGTCCAGCTATCCATCCATGTATCAATCTGTCCAGCTATCCGTCCATGTATCAATCTGTCCAGCTATCTGTCCATGTATCATCTGTCCAGCTATCTGTCCATGTATCATTCTGTCCATCTATCTGTCCATGTATCATCTGTCCAGCTATCTGTCCATGTATCATCTGTCCAGCTATCTGTCCATGTATCATCTGTCCAGCTATCCGTCCATATATCAATCTGTCCAGCTATCCGTCCATGTATCCATATGTCCAGCTATCCATCCATGTATCAATCTGTCCAGCTATCCGTCCATGTATCAATCTGTCCAGCTATCTGTCCATGTATCATCTGTCCAGCTATCTGTCCATGTATCATTCTGTCCATCTATCTGTCCATGTATCATCTGTCCAGCTATCTGTCCATGTATCATCTGTCCAGCTATCTGTCCATGTATCATCTGTCCAGCTATCCGTCCATATATCAATCTGTCCAGCTATCCGTCCATGTATCCATATGTCCAGCTATCCATCCATGTATCAATCTGTCCAGCTATCCGTCCATGTATCAATCTGTCCAGCTATCTGTCCATGTATCATCTGTCCAGCTATCTGTCCATGTATCATTCTGTCCATCTATCTGTCCATGTATCATCTGTCCAGCTATCTGTCCATGTATCATCTGTCCAGCTATCTGTCCATGTATCATCTGTCCAGCTATCCGTCCATATATCAATCTGTCCAGCTATCCGTCCATGTATCCATATGTCCAGCTATCCATCCATGTATCAATCTGTCCATCTATCCATCCATGTATCAATCTGTCCAGCTATCCGTCCATGTATCAATCTGTCCAGCTATCTGTCCATGTATCATCTGTCCAGCTATCTGTCCATGTATCATTCTGTCCATCTATCTGTCCATGTATCATCTGTCCAGCTATCTGTCCATGTATCATCTGTCCAGCTATCTGTCCATGTATCATCTGTCCAGCTATCCGTCCATATATCAATCTGTCCAGCTATCCGTCCATGTATCCATATGTCCAGCTATCCATCCATGTATCAATCTGTCCAGCTATCCGTCCATGTATCAATCTGTCCAGCTATCTGTCCATGTATCATCTGTCCAGCTATCTGTCCATGTATCATTCTGTCCATCTATCTGTCCATGTATCATCTGTCCAGCTATCTGTCCATGTATCATCTGTCCAGCTATCTGTCCATGTATCATCTGTCCAGCTATCCGTCCATATATCAATCTGTCCAGCTATCCGTCCATGTATCCATATGTCCAGCTATCCATCCATGTATCAATCTGTCCAGCTATCCGTCCATGTATCAATCTGTCCAGCTATCTGTCCATGTATCATCTGTCCAGCTATCTGTCCATGTATCATTCTGTCCATCTATCTGTCCATGTATCATCTGTCCAGCTATCTGTCCATGTATCATCTGTCCAGCTATCTGTCCATGTATCATCTGTCCAGCTATCCGTCCATATATCAATCTGTCCAGCTATCCGTCCATGTATCCATATGTCCAGCTATCCATCCATGTATCAATCTGTCCAGCTATCCGTCCATGTATCAATCTGTCCAGCTATCTGTCCATGTATCATCTGTCCAGCTATCTGTCCATGTATCATTCTGTCCATCTATCTGTCCATGTATCATCTGTCCAGCTATCTGTCCATGTATCATCTGTCCAGCTATCTGTCCATGTATCATCTGTCCAGCTATCCGTCCATGTATCAATCTGTCCAGCTATCCGTCCATGTATCAATTGGTCCAGGTATCTGTCCATGTATCAATCTGTCCAGCTATCTGTCCATGTATCATCTGTCCAGCTATCCGTCCATGTATCAATCTGTCCAGCTATCCGTCCATGTATCAATTGGTCCAGGTATCTGTCCATGTATCAATCTGTCCATCTATCCGTCCATGTATCATCTGTCCAGCTGTTTGTCCGTGTATCAATCTGTCCATCTATCCGTCCATGTATCAATCTATCCAGCTATCCGTCCATGTATCAATCTGTCCATCTATCTGTCCATGTATCATTCTGTCCAGCTGTTTGTCCGTGTATCAATCTGTCCATCTATCCATCCATGTATCAATCCGTCCATGTATCAATCTGTCCAGCCATCTGTCCATGTATCAATTTGTCCAGCCGTCCGTCCATGTATCAATCTGTCCATCTATCCGTCCATGTTTCAATCTATCCATCTATCGTCCATGTTTCAATCTGTCTAGCTATCCGTCCATATATCAATCTGTCCATCTATCCATCCATGTATCAATCTGTCCAGCTATCCATTCATGTATCAATCTGTCCATCTATCCATCCATGTATCAATCCGTCCATGTATCAATCTGTCCAGCAATCTGTCCATGTATCAATTTGTCCAGCCGTCCGTCCATGTCTCAATCTGTCCATCTATCCGTCCATGTTTCAATCTATCCATCTATCCATCCATGTTTCAATCTGTCCAGCTATCCGTCCATGTATCAATCTGTCCAGCTATCCATCCATGTATCAATCTATCCAGCTATCCGTCCATGTATCAATCTGTCCATCTATCTGTCCATGTATCATTCTGTCCAGCTGTTTGTCCGTGTATCAATCTGTCCATCTATCCGTCCATGTATCAATCCGTCCATGTATCAATCTGTCCAGCCGTCCGTCCATGTATCAATCTGTCCGTCCGTCCGTCCGTCCGTCCATGTATCAATTTGTCCAGCTGTCCGTCCATGTATCAATCTGTCCATCTATCCGTCCATGTTTCAATCTATCCATCTATCCGTCCATGTTTCAATCTATCCGTCCATGTTTCAATCTATCTGTCCATGTATCAATCTATCAGTCTATGTATCAATCTATCCATCCACCACAATATGGCTGCAGTACCTGGTCATTGTTTAACTTTACCCCATTTATAATTATAAGTACACAGAACATGTCTAGGACATCTGATGGAGGTGAGACAACAAAACATTAGGTCTAGTAATAGTACACATTTTGTTTTTAACAAGTTAATAACCTAATAACGTAGAACCTGAATTTATGTTTGCTTCAAGTCATGGTCATAGTTGTCTGTTTTACCTGATTTAGTCCGCAAGCCTACATGTAAAACAAGTTGTTTAGAATTTGTGTACTTAAAAAGAATTCTCCAATGAACTGAACTAAGTAAAATATGCACCTTTTTAAAAATAATCATTAGAAAACTTGATTTTATAATGAGATTTTAATGTTAATTGTTGAGGAAATGGAGACACATTCATCATTAAATGTCTGTCTGGCTGATAATTATCACCAATACTTATAAATAGTTCAACAAGATGATAATTGGTGAACTTATATGGCTAGTACAGACCCATGTCAGACAGAGAGCTATTTGTAGTGTACCAACAGGGGGAGGGCTGTTTCATAGTTCACTGGACCTGTGTTAGATCTACAGTAGTACGTAGCTTTCCAGTAATGATAGAAATGACATTATTCGATGGTTATGTTAACATTTTTACAAAGCTTTACTTTATGACCTAAAACACATTTGACGTAAACGAAAACTAAAGATTTCCTATAACAGCATTATCACTGTGAAATATAAAAAAATTAAAAATGAATGACTTGATACTCAGGAAGCTAATCATGTAAATGACACAATTTTATTATCTCCCTTTAATCATCACCACTCAGGACCTGGAATCTTCAAGGTGGTGATAGTTTTTTCTCTGACAGACCGTCTTAAATCACATGTGACATACTATATGTCTGTCTCCAGCCAGTAAGTGGGATAACCCTACATTCCTTTTTGTTTCCACCTGATGTAATCACAACTGACATGAGATAATGAAGGGTGTGCAGTTTTACAGAAAACTCATCCATCTACATTAGTATGTGACGGTGCACAGGTAACAATTAGTAGCTAGTAGTATGGGGCGGTGCACAGGTACCAATTAGTGACTAGTAGTATGTGACGGTGCACAGGTAACAATAAGTGACTAGTTGTATGGGGCGGTGCACAGGTAACAATTAGTGGCTAGTAGTATGGGGCGGTGCACAGGTAACAATAAGTGACTAGTTGTATGGGGCGGTGCACAGGTAACAATTAGTGGCTAGTAGTATGGGGCGGTGCACAGGTAACAATAAGTGACTAGTTGTATGGGGCGGTGCACAGGTAACAATTAGTGGCTAGTAGTATGGGGCGGTGCACAGGTAACAATAAGTGACTAGTTGTATGGGGCGGTGCACAGGTAACAATTAGTGGCTAGTAGTATGGGGCGGTGCACAGGTAACAATTAGTGACTAGTAGTATGGGGCGGTGCACAGGTAACAATTAGTGGCTAGTAGTATGGGGCGGTGCACAGGTAACAATTAGTGGCTAGTAGTATGGGGTGGTGCACAGGTAACAATAAGTGACTAGTTGTATGGGGCGGTGCACAGGTAACAATTAGTGGCTAGTAGTATGGGGCGGTGCACAGGTAACAATTAGTGGCTAGTAGTATGTGACGGTGCACAGGTAACAATTAGTGGCTAGTAGTATGTGACGGTGCACAGGTAACAATTAGTGGCTAGTAGTATGGGGCGGTGCACAGGTAACAATTAGTGGCTAGTAGTATGTGGCGGTGCACAGGTAACAATTAGTGGCTAGTAGTATGGGGCGGTGCACAGGTAACAATTAGTGGCTAGTAGTATGTGACGGTGCACAGGTAACAATTAGTGGCTAGTAGTATGTGACGGTGCACAGGTAACAATTAGTGGCTAGTAGTATGTGACGGTGCACAGGTAACAATTAGTGGCTAGTAGTATGTGACGGTGCACAGGTAACAATTAGTGGCTAGTAGTATGTGACGGTGCACAGGTAACAATTAGTGGCTAGTAGTATGTGACGGTGCACAGGTAACAATTAGTGGCTAGTAGTATGTGACGGTGCACAGGTAACAATTAGTGGCTAGTAGTATGTGACGGTGCACAGGTAACAATTAGTGGCTAGTAGTATGTGACGGTGCACAGGTAACAATTAGTGGCTAGTAGTATGTGACGGTGCACAGGTAACAATTAGTGGCTAGTAGTATGTGACGGTGCACAGGTAACAATTAGTGGCTAGTAGTATGTGACGGTGCACAGGTAACAATTAGTGGCTAGTAGTATGTGACGGTGCACAGGTAACAATTAGTGGCTAGTAGTATGTGACGGTGCACAGGTAACAATTAGTGGCTAGTAGTATGTGACGGTGCACAGGTAACAATTAGTGGCTAGTAGTATGTGACGGTGCACAGGTAACAATTAGTGACTAGTAGTATGTGGCGGTGCACAGGTAACAATTAGTGGCTAGTAGTATGTGACGGTGCACAGGTAACAATTAGTGGCTAGTAGTATGTGACGGTGCACAGGTAACAATTAGTGGCTAGTAGTATGTGACGGTGCACAGGTAACAATTAGTGGCTAGTAGTATGTGACGGTGCACAGGTAACAATTAGTGGCTAGTAGTATGTGACGGTGCACAGGTAACAATTAGTGGCTAGTAGTATGTGACGGTGCACAGGTAACAATTAGTGGCTAGTAGTATGGGGCGGTGCACAGGTAACAATTAGTGGCTAGTAGTATGTGACGGTGCACAGGTAACAATTAGTGGCTAGTAGTATGTGACGGTGCACAGGTAACAATTATAGTGGCTAGTAGTATGGGGCGGTGCACATGTAATAATTAGTGGCTAGTAGTATGGGGCGGTGCACAGGTAACAATTAGTGGCTAGTAGTATGGGGCGGTGCACATGTAATAATTAGTGGCTAGTAGGATGGGGCGGGGCACATGTAATAATTAGTGGCTAGTAGTATGGGGCGGAGCACAGGTAACAATTAGTGGCTAGTAGTATGTGACGGGGCACAGGTAACAATTAGTGACTAGTAGTATGGGGCGGTGCACAGGTAATAATTAGTGGCTAATTGATCTCACAGTAATGCTTGTCATTGTCTGCAGTCCCTGTCCATTCAGCTAGACCTGTTATTTCGATTGTGATGTCGGGTTTGTAATTGTTTGGTTTTGCTGTCGTCTGCTCCGTATGGTTTGTTCAATGCTGCAGTGTTGAGCCTATTTTCCAGTGCTAGGTTTATTATGTAGAATACCAATGTGGAGGGATATAAACATGACCAATCCCCTTCACAAGCTCAAAGTTCTCACAGAAAGACAGAGAAAGATAAAACCCTGAAGTTTACAAATTGGATCATTCAAGTTACAACATTGATATCATCAATCATGTTTCAAAAATGATAAAATGTTTGTAAAATGTACACAAAGCCCTTTTAGATAAAAGTTTTCTGGTAAAATTTGAATAACAGGAATTGCATTTAAATGTGATTTATGCACAGTGAAAAAAAGGAATGATTGAAATGTTACCAGTGTTGACATTTACTGAGAGGATGTCAGATTGCTATCCTCGTCAAGTAAATAGTAGGTTAGACATTAACACGGCTCTTGTCTGTATTGTATAGCCATTTCTCTGTAGACCTTGGCTTTTGAAATGATGTAGATACATGCAAAAAGGGAAACTGGAGTTATAGGTTTTCCATCTCCTACATTTGAATGCTGAAAATATACAAATTTTAACGTTAGTTGAAATTTATTAAATTTTCCTTTAAAAAAAGTGCACAAAACCCCTCCAAACTCTAGGTGAAAACTCTACCAATTGAGCTACCTGGTAATATTTCTGTTACATTGCTCTTTTTCTTTTTTTTTGTAAGTCTTCAGTCGTGAAAACATCTCTATTTACAACCCAGGTTTGGGTACTCAGTACTTGAAACAATGTTTGGTCAGACACCACTGTTACAGGAGTGGAATGGCCAGACCAGAATTCTCTGAACTCTAGATGGACACTCCAGCCATTGAGCTATACCTGGTCGCGGGCAAAAGACCGGTCCAGTTCTCTTCCTTTGGTTACAATGTGCCCCACTTTGATTTAATTCTCAATTTTTATATGTCTTGAAAAAAATTGTTTTTGTCTATCTGTCTATCCATCTACTTTTTGCTTTTTGCAAGGTAACTTGTTCAAATGTTTGATTTGATGAAACTTTTTAAGTCTGTGCAATATCTGAGCAAAATCTGCATAAAATTGATGAGCCCACTGTTTTCTGATTGGTAGCCAGTTTCCACACAATAATTAACAGAATCAACGTTAACTATTACCAGATTTTGATGAAACTTTGAATATATATAACATACAGAAGCAAAGTTCAAATTATAGTTTGAAGTTCTGTACTGTGTAATGCTATTTTAACATCATAGTAAGATAAAAGAGGATTCAGGTAAATAATTATTGTTCCTGTTAATCTTCCCCCCAGGATGGTGCCCAGTGGAAGCGGAATCCCTGTACCTATTGTGTGTGTATCAATGGGGCCACTGTCTGTAGATCAAAGGAATGCATGCCTGAACTCAAGTGTTCTAAGGTAAGTAATCTTTTACCAGAAAAGGTCTTTGAATAAAAAAGAAGCAGATGGATTCAGGAAATATATGGTATGATACCTGTCTACTATGTGGGACCAAGTTTGATGCATTGCAGTCCTTAGAACATTTTGTTATAAGTTTTTATCTAAAGTTTATAGATACAAAATTCCCAATAAACACAGTTCATTATTATATGACCCATCATTTTATGGGGGCATATAGTGTTAGCCATGTCTGTTGTATTGCATTGTGTCACAATTCATTTTCATGACTCTATCTACTTTTTTTTTTTTATCAAAATTCATACAACAGTGAAGTATGAAAATATCTCAGATAATTTGTAATTCAAGGTCCCCAAGTCAATGCCAAGGTCACTGCTTATATTTGTAGGTCATTCACAGGGCAATGGGGTGTTAATATCTGGAAAATAATTTCTGGTTTTGTTCATCTTTTCTGTACAAAATTTGTAATAATGCATCACTACCAAATCCTGTATATGTGTTAGTTGTAATACCCTATAGCTGGTTCTGGTAATACCCCTATAGCTGGTTCTGGTAATACCCCTATAGCTGGTTCTGGTATACCCCTATAGCTGGTTCTAGTAATACCCTATAGCTGGTTCTGGTAATACCCTACAACTGGTTCTGGTATTACCCCTATAGCTGGTTCTGGTAATACCCCTATAGCTGGTTCTGGTATT